CACTTCTACCCATCTACCCATCTACCCATCTACACTTCTACCCATCTACCCATCTACCCATCTACACTTCTACACATCTACACTTCTACCCATCTACCCATCTACCCATCTACACTTCTACCCATCTACACTTCTACCCATCTACCCATCTACCCATCTACCCATCTACACTTCTACCCATCTACCCATCTACCCATCTACCCATCTACACTTCTACACTTCTACCCATCTACCCATCTACACTTCTACACTTCTACCCATCTACCCATCTACCCATCTACACTTCTACCCATCTACACTTCTACCCATCTACCCATCTACCCATCTACACTTCTACCCATCTACCCATCTACCCATCTACCCATCTACACTTCTACCCATCTACCCATCTACCCATCTACACTTCTACCCATCTACCCATCTACCCATCTACACTTCTACCCATCTACCCATCTACCCATCTACCCACTCTACACTTCTACCCATCTACCCATCTACCCATCTACCCATCTACCCATCTACACTTCTACACTTCTACCCATCTACCCATCTACCCATCTACACTTCTACCCATCTACCCATCTACCCATCTACCCATCTACCCCATCTACCCATCTACACTTCTACCCATCTACACTTCTACCCATCTACCCATCTACCCATCTACCCATCTACACTTCTACCCATCTACCCATCTACCCATCTACCCATCTACCCATCTACCCATCTACCCATCTACACTTCTACACTTCTACACTTCTACACTTCTACACTTCTACACTTCTACACTTCTACCCATCTACCCATCTACTAGGGGTGGGCGATATGGCCTAAAATTCATATTGCGGTATAATTTGGGTCATAGACGGTAGACGGTATATATCTCGGTATAATTTGGTGTGTGAATTTCAATATAGGTCTAGCAGGTTCTTGCATAAAATAGTCAAGATTGTTAATTATTTATATATTAGAATCTAATATATATATATTTTGAGTTAGAAAATCAGTTGTGAGACGAATAAAGAGACAAATAACATACATTATTTATGTATGTTACAGTAAATACCATTCACTGTAAAAGCAATTTTTAAAAAGAAAAACATATGCATTCATTTAAAATATAAAAAACTCACAAATGTTGAAATCAAAGTCTGTAGGAGTTAGACATGGTCATTATTTATAGTGTCTGAGAGTTTTGTGCAGGTACATGACTTCAGTAAAAGCTGTTTGTTTACAAAGCTGGTCTTGCCATTTGTTGACGCTCCCTAAGCGCTTTTCTCTGCGCTGGATGATTCAATGGATTTTATGTTCATTAAAACAGGGCATTGGATTTGAACAATTGATGTAAATGGTCATTTTGGCACAAATAATTTTGTTTAACAAAGTAGCTTTCGTGAGATATTGACTGCGGAGGTCCGAATCTGACGCTAACTTTCTCAAACTTCTGCTGTGATGATGCGGACACGGCACACGCATGGATCTTGGCTCACGCTGGCGCTTCGAGCCTACGCCCCTTTGACACAGAGTGGCCAAAAGGTAGACTCTTAAACTGTGATTACTGTGTGTATTTACCTCTGCTGGGGCCGCTGTGACAACAATACATAGACAGAAACACTGTGTTAATGCCGTGCTGTTGTTCGTTGTTTCCAGTGGTGTCCAATAGTGCTAGGCTAATGCTAGGCTAATGTGCTAGGCTAATGCTGCTGAATGCCGGTTTGTTTTGGTCCTTTCTGCTGGCGTCAGAGCCCGCGCAATTTAATGACATAATGACCTATCGCAATATGCCGGTATAACAAAAATCTCTACCGTGGGCTAAATTTATACCGTCTACCGCTTATACCGTTTATACCGCCCAGCCCTACCATCTACCCATCTACCCATCTACCCATCTACCCATCTACACTTCTACACTTCTACCCATCTACCCATCTACCCATCTACACTTCTACACTTCTACCCATCTACCCATCTACCCATCTACCCATCTACCCATCTACCCATCTACCCATCTACACTTCTACCCATCTACCCATCTACCCATCTACCCATCTACACTTCTACACTTCTACACTTCTACACTTCTACCCATCTACCCATCTACCCATCTACCCATCTACCCATCTACCCATCTACCCATCTACACTTCTACACTTCTACACTTCTACCCATCTACCCATCTACCCATCTACCCATCTACACTTCTACCCATCTACCCATCTACCCATCTACCCATCTACACTTCTACACTTCTACACTTCTACCCATCTACCCATCTACCCATCTACCCATCTACCCATCTACCCATCTACCCATCTACCACTGTGCACTGTGCTCCATGTCCTGTACACCTAGAACAACGTTGAATCTGGCCTTTCTAAGTAGCACAAAAAAGGTCTCCAAATTTCAGGAAAAAGTTGCAACCTATTTCTAATTGTATATAATTCTTTCAAGCAGTAATATATATATATATATATATATATATATATGTATGTATAATAATATATGTAGTTATATGTAGTTATCAGTTCCTTCATGAAGTCACCTGTACTCGGCCCGAGGAGTCTTTCCAATGCCTGACCATTACTCTCTTTGCCAGAACCAAACATAGTTCTATAAACATTGTTTCCTTTAAATTCCATTTGTTATTTTGTGGTAATTTTGCAAGTATCAAAAGTTTTGGGTCTCGCTGTATAGAGATCTCTAATACGTCCTGAATAAAAGGGTGTTTTCCCAGAGTGTTTGGATCAGCCTGCATTAACAGGCAGTGGAGCAGTGAACCTTTACTACCACACTCTGCACATGAGTCTGATATGACTTTGTTGAATCTATTTAGTTTAACAGCTGTTATGTAGGTTCTCATTATCCATTTATATTGTGTCATTCTCAGATTTATATCAGTAGTGATTGTGATCTGGTGCATATTCATTTCCAATCTTCAACAGAGAAATCCTCCTTCAGATCTTTGTTCCAGCCCTCCGGCCTTTTAGTGGAAACTAGAGATTAAACCCTTTTTACAACACATCCTTGTCATACATTTTTCAAGTGGAGAAAGTTCTGGGGGATCGATAGAATTATTCTGCTGAGTGCCTATAAAATTCCTTATTTGCAATAGTAAGTGATTGCGGGGAATGTCATATAATCTAATAATGTCTTCAAATGTAAGGAGTTGTCCTTCCTGACTGTAGAGCTTCTGACTGTTATTGAGCCCTTTGGCTGCCCATAGTTTAATCCTTTATCGGCTCTGGCTTTAGGGAATCTCTCATTTCCCCAAATTGGGCTGAATAGTGATAAAGATGTTTCTCCACAAAAGTTCTCTGTTATATTTCTGATCGTTTGGTGGAAAAGTGGAATACGTCTCTTTGATCTTTCTACAGATGGAATAATCATAATTTACTGTTTATAATTAAACTTAAACTTATTTGTTGAAACATAAACTTCTGATAAAAGTATTGAATATTTAACACAGAACTGTCCCTGGATCGTCACAAATGTTCTTATGTTTTTTATCTGTTGTTTGTGTTTTTACAGACGAGAGAGATCGAGTGCAGAAGAAAACTTTCACCAAATGGGTGAACAAACACCTGATAAAGGTCAGTCTCATTTATTTATTCATTTATTTGTATTTGTATTTTTTGTTTCATTTTGAAGAAATCAAAGCAGATCCACTGTTGGTGCTTTGAAGACGATTATTTCAGTTTTTGGTCTGAAATGACTGAGTTTAAAGTTCAAACCATTTTCTTCTTTTGTTTTTGAGAAAATAGTGACATTTCTGCCGTAACACGGAGATCACATAAATACTAACTCATGTTCCTGAACATCTGTAACATCTGTGCTGCATGTGTCTCTCTTCGAGACAAAACTGAGAGATTTTAGCTGAAACAGGTTCAAACTATTTGAGGAAAGAGAGGTTTTGAAAACCAGCGACTCCTGGAGTTTGTTTGAATCAAAAAGATAAAGATGGTTCTAGTTTACATGTTTCCACAGACAGAAATCTGAACTTTGTTTAGTCTAGTTTAGATAAGTTTAGGTGGAAATGATCGGTGATGTCACCTGCAGGGGGCGCCACTGTCCCATGTCTCTGTTTCCTGTTTTCATCGTTTGATCTCATGATGAACAGATGAACTCGTCAGCTCCAATCACTCTGGTCCTGGTCCTGACTCTGGTCCTGGTCCTGACTCTAGTCCTGGTCCTGACTCTGGTCCTGACTCTGGTCCTGGTGCTGACTCTGGTCCTGACTCTGGTCCTGACTCTGGTCCTGACTCTGGTCCTGACTCTGGTCCTGACTCTGGTGCTGACTCTGGTCCTGACCCTGGTCCTGGTGCTGACTCTGGTGCTGACTCTGGTCCTGACTCTGGTCCTGGTGCTGACTCTGGTCCTGGTGCTGACTCTGGTCTTGACTCTGGTCCTGGTGCTGACTCTGGTCCTGACTCTGGTCCTGGTCCTGACTATGGTCCTGGTCCTGACTCTGGTCCTGGTGCTGACTCTGGTCCTGGTGCTGACTCTGGTGCTGACTCTGGTCCTGACTCTGGTCCTGGTCCTGACTATGGTCCTGGTCCTGACTCTGGTCCTGTTCATCATCAACTAATGGTTTTTGTACATTGTCCCTTTTTTTAGAAACACTAAACTAAACTAAACTGGACTGGACTGGACTGTAGAAGAAGAAGTGAACTGAGTTAAAAGGAAACATTGAAACATTGCGTTCTGAGAAAAGAACAAAGTAGAAACGATCTTTGAGTCTTTTCAAATGTAAAGATGAATAAGGTCCTAGTTTAGTCTGTGGTTGTTAAAGCTCGGGTCCCTGACTTTACAGCCACAAACATGAACTGTATGTAGTAAAATCACAGTTTATTATCAAACAAGATTAGACTTTATTAAACTGTTTATGAACAAAGTCACGTTCCCCGTCTTTAAACAGAACTTCAGGATCAGAACATTTAAAAAATATTCCATCTTTGACTCAAAAATTATTGACTTTATTTGTATTTTTCCATTGCTCAGTTTTATGTTTTGCTCATGACTTCTTCCTCTGCCCCTCTTCCTCTGCTCCTCTTCCTTTGCTCCTCTTCCTCTGCTCCTCTTCCTCTGCTCCTCTTCCTCTGCTCCTCTTCCTCTGCTCCTTTTCCTCTGCTCCTCTTCCTCTGCCCCTCTTCCTTTGCCACTCTTCCTCTGCTCCTCTTTCTCCGCTCCTCTTCCTCGGCCCCTTTTCCTCTGCTCATCTTCCTCGGACCCTTTTCCTCTGCTCCTCTTCCTCTGCTCCTCTTCCTCTGCTCCTCTTCCTCTGCTCCTCTTCCTCTGCTCCTCTTCCTCTGCCACTCTTCCTCTGCCACTCTTCCTCTGCTCCTCTTTCTCCGCTCCTCTTCCTCTGCTCCTCTTTCTCCGCTCCTCTTCCTCGGCCCCTTTTCCTCTGCTCCTCTTCCTCTGCCCCTCTTCCTCTGCTCCTCTTCCTCTTCCTCTGCTCCTCTTCCTCTGCTCCTCTTCCTTTGCTCCTCTTCCTTTGCTCCTCTTCCTCCGCTCCTCTTCCTTTGCTCCTCTTCCTCTGCCCCTCTTCCTCTGCCCCTCTTCCTCTGCTCCTCTTTCTCTGCCCCTCTTCCTCTGCCCCTCTTCCTCTGCTCCTCTTCCTCTGCTCCTCTTCCTTTGCTCCTCTTCCTCTGCTCCTCTTCCTCTGCTCCTCTTCCTCTGCTCCTCTTCCTTTGCTCCTCTTCCTTTGCTCCTCTTCCTCCGCTCCTCTTCCTCCGCTCCTCTTCCTTTGCTCCTCTTCCTCTGCCCCTCTTCCTCTGCTCCTCTTCCTCTGCTCCTCTTCCTTTGCTCCTCTTCCTCTGCCCCTCTTCCTCTGCTCCTCTTCCTCTGCCCCTCTTCCTCTGCTCCTCTTCCTCTGCTCCTCTTCCTCTGCTCCTCTTCCTTTGCTCCTCTTCCTCTGCTCCTCTTCCTCCGCTCCTCTTCCTCTGCTCCTCTTCCTCTGCTCCTCTTCCTCTGCCCTTCTTCCTCTGCTCCTCTTCCTCTGCTCCTCTTCCTCCGCTCCCCTTCCTCTGCCCCTTTTCCTCTGCTCCTCTTCCTCTGCTCCTCTTCCTCTGCCCCTCTTTCTCCGCTCCTCTTCTTCGGCCCCTTTTCTTCTGCTCCTCTTCCTCGGACCCTTTTCCTCTGCTCCTCTTCCTCGGCCTCTTTTCCTCTGCCCCTCTTCCTCTGCCCCTCTTCCTCTGCTCCTCTTCCTCTGCTACTCTTCCTCTGCTCCTCTTCCTCTGCTCGCCTTCCTCTGCTCCTCTTCCTCTGATCCTCTTCCTCTTCCCCTCTTCCTCTGCCCCTCTTCCTCTGCCCCTCTTCCTCTGCTCCTCTTCTTCTGCTCCTCTTCCTCTGCCCCTCTTCCTCTGCTCCTCTTCCTCTGCTCCTCTTCCTCTGATCCTCTTCCTCTTCCCCTCTTCCTCTGCTCCTCTTCCTCTGCTCCTCTTCCTCTGCTCCTCTTCCTTTGCTCCTCTTCCTTTGCTCCTCTTCCTCCGCTCCTCTTCCTCTGCTCCTCTTCCTCTGCTCCTCTTCCTCTGCCCTTCTTCCTCTGCTCCTCTTCCTCTGCTCCTCTTCCTCAGCTCCCCTTCCTCTGCCCCTTTTCCTCTGCTCCTCTTCCTCTGCTCCTCTTCCTCTGCCCCTCTTCCTCTGCCCCTCTTTCTCCGCTCCTCTTCTTCGGCCCCTTTTCTTCTGCTCCTCTTCCTCGGACCCTTTTCCTCTGCTCCTCTTCCTCGGCCTCTTTTCCTCTGCCCCGCTTCCTCTGCTCCTCTTCCTCTGCCCCTCTTCCTCTGCCCCTCTTCCTCTGCTCCTCTTCCTCTGCTACTCTTCCTCTGCTCCTCTTCCTCTGCTCGCCTTCCTCTGCTCCTCTTCCTCTGATCCTCTTCCTCTTCCCCTCTTCCTCTGCCCCTCTTCCTCTGCCCCTCTTCCTCTGCCCCTCTTCCTCTGCTCCTCTTCTTCTGCTCCTCTTCCTCTGCCCCTCTTCCTCTGCTCCTCTTCCTCTGCTCCTCTTCCTCTGATCCTCTTCCTCTTCCCCTCTTCCTCTGCTCCTCTTCCTCGGCCCCTTTTCCTCTGCTCCTCTTCTTCTGCTCCTCTTCCTCTGCTCCTCTTCCTCTGCTCCTCTTCCTCTGCTCCACTTCCTCTGCTCCTCTTCCTCTGCTCCTCTTCCTCATCTTCAGCACTGGACAGAGGTAGGTGTCTGTGTACCTCCTTTTCTTTGTCCTTTTAAACGACAATCATAACATTTGATTTTCATGTTTTTACTGCATCATGTTTTTACTCCATTACTGCAGTGCTAACCGGAAGTGCAATGCTAACGTAGCTAACTGAAGCTAACGGTTTAGCTGCCGCTCTGGTTAGCACTGGTCTATATAAATATAAGAACTCTGACTCCACATGTTTCGGACATTTCAGGATCTGGATAAAAACGCTAACGTCTGCTGCAAGGACGGCACTTTGTTGTAATCACATTTAAAGTGACATAAACAAAGTGCTGCAGTTTTAAAGCTGCGGTACCAAACTTTACAGCCACAACAAATGTATGAAGAAAAATAAACAAAATCCATTTAACGCGTTCCTTAACAGTTCTGTCTTTCACATGTATTTTTATTTTCAAACATATGTGGGATTATTATATATATTATATTATTATATATTCAATACTTATATTATTGGTGGGAAGTTTAAAGATCATTATTATTATTATTCTGTTGTCTTCTTTAATGTATATTTTGACTCTTGAGAAAATCAAATCAATTACTTTTGGAAATGATTATTTGTGTTTGAAGTTTCTTTTACAGTAGTCTGTAGTTTGTGCCTTTGATCGAAATAAACTAGATTTCAAAGTATTTTTTCCCTAATAATCAGAAAATGTAAGAACATTTTAATTATCTTCAATAATAGGTTTGTCCTCAGTCCCAGAGACAGATTAATAATCTTTGTCCACAGTCCCAGAGACAGATTAATATTCTTTGTCCACAGTCCCAGAGACAGATTAATAATCTTTGTCCTCAGTCCCAGAGACAGATTAATAATCTTTGTCCACAGTCCCAGAGACAGATTAATAATCTTTGTCCACAGTCCCAGAGACAGATTAATATTCTTTGTCCACAGTCCCAGAGACAGATTAATATTCTTTGTCCACAGTCCCAGAGACAGATTAATAATCTTTGTCCACAGTCCCAGAGACAGATTAATAATCTTTGTCCACAGTCCCAGAGACAGATTAATATTCTTTGTCCACAGTCCCAGAGACAGATTAATAATCTTTGTCCTCAGTCCCAGAGACAGATTAATAATCTTTGTCCACAGTCCCAGAGACAGATTAATATTCTTTGTCCACAGTCCCAGAGACAGATTAATAATCTGTGTCCTCAGTCCCAGAGACAGATTAATAATCTTTGTCCACAGTCCCAGAGACAGATTAATAATCTTTGTCCTCAGTCCCAGAGACAGATTAATATTCTTTGTCCTCAGTCCCAGAGACATGTGTCCGATCTGTACGAGGACCTCAGAGATGGACACAACCTGATTTCGCTGCTGGAGGTTCTTTCGGGGGAAACACTGGTGAGAAACACTTTATTATTATTATTATTCTGTTTTTCTCACGTTGGAGACGACTAATCTACATAAGTCTCTAATCTAGATTATTAACTCTGGATAATCCTGGTGCATGTGGATTACTCTGATGCTGCTGCACCTTTAACCCTCGTGTCGTGTTGTGTCTAACTTTTCACTTTGCATCCGTTGTGAGCCTCACTCCTGGTTTTGCTTCTTTCTCTCTTCCTTTGATCCCTTTGATCCCTTTATGTTGCTACGTAGCCGCGGGAGCGGGACGTTGTGAGGAGCTTGCGGTTGGTGAGTGGCGACTGGGCGTGGCATGTGTGGCGCCCTCCGATGGCTGCTGCAAAGAACTGGATGAACCGTGACCTCATCTCATTCATTTACTCATTCACTTACTAACCGTAACCCGCACTCTGTGAAATTATATGATCCTTTGGTGAAAATGTGTTTTCACAAGGTGGTTATAGCCTGCTTTATTTTATATTCTATATAGGGTTTATATATATATGTATGTATATATATATATATATACAGTATATATTATATTAGGGATTGCCCTTAAGTTAAATCCTCTCTCGCCACTTGTAACGGCACATGTTCTAACCATGTGCTAACTCCCAGCCATAGACTGTATTATGGACAATGCTAACCCGCTAGCTCTGCTTGAGCTAGCTCTGTGTGGTTTTGGTGTTTTTATTTTGATATTGTTTATGTAAATCTCCATGAGCTTTAGCATCTGACCAATCGGGTGCCTTCTGTGCCTGAATATGGCTTTGATTAGCAAATAGCATAAACAGAAGTCTGACTCCTGATTGGCTCTTGGTTGCTAGGTCGTTGCTATCCTTGAATTTGGCTCCATGAGTGCGAAGCCTGTTTGAGTCTCGCACCGATGGTTAGGGTTAACCCTAGGGCCTCATTCTACGGTTAGGGTGGTTAGGGTCAACCATAGGGCCTCATTCTACGGTTAGGGTGGTTAGGGTCAACCATAGGGCCTCATTCTACGGTTATGGTGGTTAGGGTTAACCATAGGGCCTCATCCTATGGTTAGGGTGGTTAGGGTTAACCATAGGGCCTCATTCTACGGTTATGGTGGTTAGGGTCAACCATAGGGCCTCATTCTACGGTTATGGTGGTTAGGGTCAACCATAGGGCCTCATTCTACGGTTAGGGTGGTTAGGGTCAACCATAGGGCCTCATTCTACGGTTAGGGTGGTTAGGGTCAACCATAGGGCCTCATTCTACGGTTAGGGTGGTTAGGGTCAACCATAGGGCCTCATTCTACGGTTATGGTGGTTAGGGTCAACCATAGGGCCTCATTCTACGGTTATGGTGGTTAGGGTTAACCATAGGGCCTCATTCTACGGTTAGGGTGGTTAGGGTTAACCATAGGGCCTCATTCTACGGTTATGGTGGTTAGGGTTAACCATAGGGCCTCATTCTACGGTTATGGTGGTTAGGGTTAACCATAGGGCCTCATTCTACGGTTATGGTGGTTAGGGTTAATCATAGGGCCTCAGGATTGGCCAGTCTTCCTATCTAGAGGTTTGGGTAGAGGCGAGGTTATTCTCTTCCTCTTTCATCTTGATGTCGTCCTGGTTTGAGCAGCTCTGGTTGTTTTTCTCACTATCAGCTGCAGTTGTTTAGTCTTGGGCTGAGGTTACCATGGTAACGGTTCCCAGGGACAGACTCACATCTTTATCATTGTGGGTAAAGATTCACTCTATGCTACTTCCTGTTTGCCTGCAGGCTAACAATCCACCCAATTGCCTGCATTAGGGTTTGCATGTTCTTCCTGTCGTCTTTCATTAAAACATTGTTCATTTCAAATTAAAACCATAAAACAACATTCTGCGGACCTACATTTGACAAAGATACAGAAGTTTTCAGTCCATTTTCTGCAATTTCTCCTTTTTTAGTTCCTTGTTTGTAGCAGCAGTTTAAATTTTTTATTTTTATTGTATTAGTTTCTCCCAGATATAAACCAGCAGTAGCTGTAGCTGTAGCAGTAGCTGTAGCAGTAGCAGTAGCTGTATCTGTAGCTGTAGCTGTAGCATTAGCAGTAGCTGTAGCAGTAGCTGTAGCAGTAGCAGTGGTCGTGTCATAGACAGAGACATGTTTTATTGTCGATGGGAGACGAGCACGAACAAAGGAGATGCATATTCCACCCTGGAGGAGACGTCCAATCAGCATTCACCGCGGCGTCAGTAGCTTTGGCCTTTAGAAAAACCAAACCATGCAGTGGAAAAGCACTGCCTCATTGTTAGAATAAATAGTTTCACTTTAACCACAGCCGCTTCAAAGTGAAGTCTCTGAACTGGGTCAGATTTGGAAGCTCAGAACGACACATCCGTCTGTGGCAAGGAAATACTCTGCACCATCACCCCTTCATGGTCCTGCTTCCTTCATGGTCCTGCTTCCTTCATGGTGCTTCCTTCATGGTCCTGCTCCCTTCATGGTGCTTCCTAAATGGTGCTTCCTTCATGGTGCTTCCTTCATGGTGCTTCCTTCATGGTCCTGCTTCCTTCATGGTGCTTCCTTCATGGTCCTGCTCCCTTCATGGTGCTTCCTAAATGGTGCTTCCTTCATGGTGCTTCCTTCATGGTGCTTCCTTCATGGTCCTGCTTCCTTCATGGTGCTTCCTTCATGGTCCTGCTTCCTTCATGGTGCTTCCTAAATGGTGCTTCCTTCATGGTCCTGCTTCCTTCATGGTGCTTCCTTCATGGTGCTTCCTTCATGGTGCTTCCTAAATGGTGGTTCCTTCATGGTGCTTCGTTCATGGTCCTGAGACCAGAGGATTCTAAAGCAAACTCCAGTGGAAATATTTCCTAAACACAACTTTCTCAGATTTTAAGGTCGTTGTAGTCGCAGTAGTTTATGCAGTCGCAGTAGTTTATGCAGTCACAGTAGTTTATGCAGTCGCAGTGGTTTATGCAGTTGCAGTAGTTCATGCAGTCACAGTAGTTTATGCAGTCGCAGTAGTTCATGCAGTCGTTGTAGTCGCAGTAGTTTATGCAGTTGCAGTAGTTTATGCAGTCGCAGTAGTTTATGCAGTCACAGTAGTTTTTGCAGTCGCAGTAGTTTATGCAGTCGCAGTAGTTTATGCAGTCGCAGTAGTTCATGCAGTCGCAGTAGTTCATGCAGTCGCTGTAGTTTATGCAGTCGCAGTAGTTTATGCAGTCGCAGTAGTTTATGCAGTCGCAGTAGTTTATGCAGTCGCTGTAGTTCATGCAGTCGCTGTAGTTTATAAAGTCGCAGTAGTTTATGCAGTTGCAGTAGTTTATGCAGTCGCAGTAGTTCATGCAGTCGCAGTAGTTCATGCAGTCGCTGTAGTTTATGCAGTCGCAGTAGTTTATGCAGTCGCAGTAGTTTATGCAGTCGCTGTAGTTCATGCAGTCGCAGTAGTTCATGCAGTCGCAGTAGTTTATGCAGTCGCTGTAGTTTATGAAGGCGCTGTAGTTTATGCAGTCGCAGTAGTTTATGCAGTCGCTGTAGTTCATGCAGTTGCAGTAGTTTATGCAGTCGCAGTAGTTTATGCAGTCGCTGTAGTTTATGCAGTCGCTGTAGTTTATGCAGTCGCTGTAGTTTATGCAGTCGCTGTAGTTTATGCAGTTGCAGTAGTTTATGCAGTTGCAGTCGTTTATGCAGTCGCAGTAGTTTATGCAGTCGCAGTAGTTTATGCAGTCCCAGTAGTTTATGCAGTTGCTGTAGTTTATGCAGTCGCTGTAGTTTATGCAGTCGCAGTAGTTCATGCAGTCGCTTTAGTTTATGCAGTTGCAGTAGTTTATGCAGTCAGTCGTTTATGCAGTTGCAGTAGTTTATGCAGTTGCAGTAGTTTATGCAGTCGCAGTAGTTTATGCAGTTGCTGTAGTTTATGCAGTCGCTGTAGTTTATGCAGTCGCAGTAGTTCATGCAGTCGCAGTAGTTCATGCAGTCGCTTTAGTTTATGCAGTCGCTGTAGTTTATGCAGTTGCAGTAGTTTATGCAGTCACAGTCGTTTATGGAGTTGCAGTAGTTTATGCAGTTGCAGTAGTTTATGCAGTCAGTCGTTTATGCAGTTGCAGTAGTTTATGCAGTTGCAGTAGTTTATGCAGTCGCAGTAGTTTATGCAGTCGCAGTAGTTTATGCAGTCGCTGTAGTTTATGCAGTTGCAGTAGTTTATGCAGTCGCTGTAGTTTATGCAGTTGCAGTAGTTCATGGTGCTTCCTTCATGGTCCTGCTTCCTTCATGGTGCTTCCTTCATGGTGCTTCCTAAATGGTGGTTCCTTCATGGTGCTTCGTTCATGGTCCTGAGACCAGAGGATTCTAAAGCAAACTCCAGTGGAAATATTTCCTAAACACAACTTTCTCAGATTTTAAGGTCGTTGTAGTCGCAGTAGTTTATGCAGTCGCAGTAGTTTATGCAGTCACAGTAGTTTATGCAGTCGCAGTGGTTTATGCAGTTGCAGTAGTTCATGCAGTCACAGTAGTTTATGCAGTCGCAGTAGTTCATGCAGTCGTTGTAGTCGCAGTAGTTTATGCAGTTGCAGTAGTTTATGCAGTCGCAGTAGTTTATGCAGTCACAGTAGTTTTTGCAGTCGCAGTAGTTTATGCAGTCGCAGTAGTTTATGCAGTCGCAGTAGTTCATGCAGTCGCAGTAGTTCATGCAGTCGCTGTAGTTTATGCAGTCTCAGTAGTTTATGCAGTCGCAGTAGTTTATGCAGTCGCAGTAGTTTATGCAGTCGCAGTAGTTTATGCAGTCGCTGTAGTTCATGCAGTCGCTGTAGTTTATAAAGTCGCAGTAGTTTATGCAGTTGCAGTAGTTTATGCAGTCGCAGTAGTTCATGCAGTCGCAGTAGTTCATGCAGTCGCTGTAGTTTATGCAGTCGCTGTAGTTTATGCAGTTGCAGTAGTTTATGCAGTCGCTGTAGTTCATGCAGTCGCTGTAGTTCATGCAGTCGCAGTAGTTTATGCAGTCGCTGTAGTTTATGAAGGCGCTTTAGTTTATGCAGTCGCAGTAGTTTATGCAGTCGCTGTAGTTCATGCAGTTGCAGTAGTTTATGCAGTCGCAGTAGTTTATGCAGTCGCTTTAGTTCATGCAGTCGCTTTAGTTTATGCAGTCGCTGTAGTTTATGCAGTTGCAGTAGTTTATGCAGTCGCAGTCGTTTATGCAGTTGCAGTAGTTTATGCAGTTGCAGTAGTTTATGCAGTCGCAGTAGTTTATGCAGTTGCAGTAGTTTATGCAGTTGCTGTAGTTTATGCAGTCGCTGTAGTTTATGCAGTCGCAGTAGTTCATGCAGTCGCAGTAGTTCATGCAGTCGCTTTAGTTTATGCAGTCGCTGTAGTTTATGCAGTTGCAGTAGTTTATGCAGTCACAGTCGTTTATGCAGTTGCAGTAGTTTATGCAGTTGCAGTAGTTTATGCAGTCACAGTCGTTTATGCAGTTGCAGTAGTTTATGCAGTTGCAGTAGTTTATGCAGTCGCAGTAGTTTATGCAGTCGCAGTAGTTTATGCAGTCGCTGTAGTTTATGCAGTTGCAGTAGTTTATGCAGTCGCAGTAGTTTATGCAGTCGCTGTAGTTTATGCAGTCGCAGTAGTTTATGCAGTCGCAGTAGTTTATGCAGTTGCAGTAGTTTATGCAGTCGCTGTAGTTTATGCAGTTGCAGTAGTTTATGCAGTTGCAGTAGTTTATGCAGTTGCAGTCGTTTATGCAGTTGCAGTAGTTTATGCAGTCGCAGTAGTTTATGCAGTCGCAGTAGTTTATGCAGTCCCAGTAGTTTATGCAGTTGCTGTAGTTTATGCAGTCGCTGTAGTTTATGCAGTCGCAGTAGTTCATGCAGTCGCTTTAGTTTATGCAAGTCGCTGTAGTTTATGCAGTTGCAGTAGTTTATGCAGTCACAGTCGTTTATGCAGTTGCAGTAGTTTATGCAGTTGCAGTAGTTTATGCAGTCACAGTCGTTTATGCAGTTGCAGTAGTTTATGCAGTTGCAGTAGTTTATGCAGTCGCAGTAGTTTATGCAGTCGCTGTAGTTTATGCAGTTGCAGTAGTTTATGCAGTCGCAGTAGTTTATGCAGTCGCTGTAGTTTATGCAGTCGCAGTAGTTTATGCAGTCGCAGTAGTTTATGCAGTTGCAGTAGTTTATGCAGTCACAGTCGTTTATGCAGTTGCAGTAGTTTATGCAGTCGCAGTAGTTTATGCAGTCTCAGTAGTTTATGCAGTTGCAGTAGTTTATGCAGTCACAGTCGTTTATGCAGTTGCAGTAGTTTATGCAGTCGCAGTAGTTTATGCAGTCGCAGTAGTTTATGCAGTCGCTGTAGTTTATGCAGTCGCAGTAGTTCATGCAGTCGCTGTAGTTTATGCAGTTGCAGTAGTTTATGCAGTCGCAGTAGTTTATGCAGTCGCAGTAGTTTATGCAGTCGCAGCAGTTTATGCAGTCGCTGTAGTTTATGCAGTCGCTGTAGTTTATGCAGTCGCTGTAGTTTATGCAGTCGCAGTAGTTTATGCAGTCGCTGTAGTTTATGCAGTTGCAGTAGTTTATGCAGTCGCAGTAGTTTATGCAGTCGCTGTAGTTTATGCAGTCGCTGTAGTTTATGCAGTTGCAGTAGTTTATGCAGTCGCAGTTGTTTATGCAGCTGCTGTAGTTTATGCAGTCGCAGTAGTTTATGCAGTTGCAGTAGTTTATGCAGTTGCTGTAGTTTATGCAGTTGCTGTAGTTTATGCAGTCGCTGTAGTTTATGCAGTCGCTGTAGTTTAAGCAGTCGCAGTAGTTTATGCAGTCGCAGTAGTTTATGCAGTTGCTGTAGTTTATGCAGTCGCTGTAGTTTATGCAGTCGCTCTTTTGTCAGTATCATTATTTGTGAAACCCTTTTCTTTTCAGCCGAGGGAGAAAGGACGGATGCGTTTCCACAAACTACAGAACGTTCAGATCGCTCTGGACTTCCTCAAACACAGACAGGTACCATTTTATATATAAGTATTTTATATATTATATACAGGTAAATGTTTGTACATAATAAGTATTTTATACATAAACAGGTATATGTATATATAATCAGTATATTATACATATAAAACAGGTATATATATATATATATATATATATATAGCTAAGTATATTATATATTACTGTATATACAGGTATATATATGATAAGTATATTATATATTATGAACAGGTATATGTTTACATTTAATAAGTATATTACATATTATAAACAGGTATATAAATATGATAGTATATTATCAGAATCAGAATCAGAATAATTTTTATTGCCACGTAAGTAACAGGAAGTCACAGACTTGGAAATTGCTTTGGCTCAGTGCAACAGTCAGAAAGAGATAATAAAAATAAAGAATAAAAAACACTTCTAAGGAATAAATGTAAATTTAAAATAGAGTTACAGTTACTATTTACAATATACAAGTGCACATGGTGCACACAATGTAAGGTGACAGCAGTACAGTGAAGTAAAGTGACGTATGATGGGCAGTAAAGTGACTTTATAAAGGGCGGGGGACAGGTTAAGAAGTGTTCAAGAGTCCAACAGCAGAGGGGAAGAAACTGTTCTTGTGGCGGGAGGTTCTAGTCCTGATGGACCGCAGCCTCCTGCCTGAGGGGAGTGGTTGGAATAGTCCATGTGCAGGTGAGAGGGGAGTGGTTGGAATAGTCCATGTGCAGGTGAGAGGGGAGTGGATGGAATAGTCCATGTGCAGGGTGAGAGGGGAGTGGTTGGAATAGTCCATGTGCAGGTGAGAGGGGAGTGGTTGGAATAGTCCATGTGCAGGTGAGAGGGGAGTGGTTGGAATAGTCCATGTGCAGGTGAGAGGGGAGTGGTTGGAAAAGTCCATGTGCAGGTGAGAGGGGAGTGGTTGGAATAGTCCATGTGCAGGTGAGAGGGGAGTGGTTGGAATAGTCCATGTGCAGGTGAGAGGGGAGTGGTTGGAATAGTCCATGTGCAGGTGAGAGGGGAGTGGTTGGAATAGTCCATGTGCAGGTGAGAGGGGAGTGGTTGGAATAGTCCATGTGCAGGTGAGAGGGGAGTGGTTGGAATAGTCCATGTGCAGGTGAGAGGGGTCGGCTGTGATACGACCAGCCCGGCCTCGAGCTCGGGCGACGTACAGGTCCTGCAGCGATGGAAGGCTGCGGCCGATCACTTCCTCTGCAGAGCGCACAATGCACTGTAGTCTCTGTTTGTCCCTGACTGTGGCTCCAACGAACCACACAGTGATGGAGGAGGTGATGGAGGAGGTGATGGAGGAGGAGATGATGGCCGTGTAGAACTGCACCAACATCTGTGCAGGCAGCTTGGCTTTCCTGAGCTGCCGCAGGAAGTACATCCTCTGCTGGGCCTTCTTGATGAGGGAGCTGATGGTCGGCTCTAGGGCTGGGATAAACGATTATTTTTTAAACAATTAATCTAGCGATTATTTTTTCGATGCATCGATTAATCTAACGATTATTTTTTTCGCTTCGATTCGATTCTCGATTATCTCCCCATTAATTGACTAATATTGATGTATACATGTTTATTTAAATATTTTAATGAAAAAAACATGAATTCCTTCACAAAAAATATTTATTGCTTGCTCTTAAAATTAAAAAATAAGACATTCTTAGAGGTAGCATAAAACCTTAAAGCCTTGAAAACACAGCTTACTGAAAAAAGTGCATCTTATCATTCTTGAAACAAACATTTGATGCTTAGCATTCAATAAAAATATGAAAAAGTTCAGCCAAATACTTGTGTAGAGCAACTAAAAGAAAACAGTAACCAATGTAAACTTGAAGGCTTTAAGCTAAACAAAGAGTGCTTTTCCAGCAAAAACAGTGGGAGCCATCAGCCTGTCATGGCGTCCTTCCTGAACCAACAGAGTTTAACATTTAAGTTGAAGACACATAGGCCTATATTACTGAAGTCCATTAATTAAAGTGCATCTCTTAAATTCTTCATTCATATAAAAATAACAGTCAAAACTCTGCCACTCACCTTTTTCTTAAACTCAAAATTCAAAAATAAAATTCAAGTAAGAGTGTACAAGAGAAAAACAATGCATTGTGTAGCAAATAAAAAGGTCAACCAGTCATCCTTTCTTTTAGAGTTACTGAAAGAATACAGTAGAAGTCATCTCAGAGGACTTAAAACAACATTGAAGTCACCAACACAGATCAGAGAATCAATCAACAGTTAAACACATTAAGGATATTGAACACATGTTGAAAAATGTCCATATACGGCGGGCATGACAGTGAATAATACATGTAGGGGCTATTACGGGCGCCAATATTCCGTTTGATACAAAGAAAGACAGACTAGTTGTAAGCTGTAGAGTTGCCACAGGACGCGTCATCAGCCTACGTCAGCAGCCTACGTCAGCAGCCTACGTCAGCAGCCTACGTCAGCAGCCGCGGACTGCTATGAAAACATTAGCTTTGTGGTTTCACAGGCGCAGTTGACTGCTTAAACTAAACTTTGCACGAAACTTTGACTCTTAAAACCCACATGTGACAAAACGGAACCATCAACATCTCGCCTCAAATTGCATTAAAAGTGACATTCGTGTCTGAATTCGTTCCTATTTTAACTTTTAAAGAAATTCACGGTCCGCCATCTTGGTTTGCTTCGGCTGCCGTGAGACGCGCATGCGCAGGTTTGCATTACATGATAAACAGCTGAGGCTGTGCATCTCTTCAAGGCAGTGTATCTCAGCGTTACACCGGCTTGCACTTCTCTAACACGGCACTCGCATTGCTACCGCTCGCCGCCATCTTTGTTTTGTGTGTGACGCACCAACGCGCATATTATACGTTGGTGTATTTTTTGCGTCGACGTCACCGATTACGTCGACGCGTTGTCCCAGCCCTAGTCGGCTCCCACTTGAGGTCCTGGGTGATGGTGGTGCCCAGGAAACGGAAGGACTCCACAGAGGTGATGGGGGAGTCCATCACGGAGGGTGGGGGCGGGGGGACAGTGCTCTTCCTGAAGTCCACAATCATCTCCACTGTCTTCTGGGCGTTCAGCTCCAGGTTGTTACCACTGCACCAGGACACCAGCCGGTCCACCTCCCTCCTGTAGGAGACACCAGGACACCAGCCGGTCCACCTCCCTCCTGTAGGAGACACCAGGACACCAGCCGGTCCACCTCCCTCCTGTAGGAGACACCAGGACACCAGCCGGTCCACCTCCCTCCTGTAGGCGGACTCATCGTTGTTGGAGATGAGTCCAATGAGGGTGGTGTCGTCTGTGAACTTGATCAGCTTCACGGAGTCGTGGCTGGAGGTGCAGTGGTTGGTGTACAGGGAGAAGAGCAGGGGAGAAAGAACACAGCCCTGTGGGGCTCCTGTATTTATAATCCGAGAGTCCGAGACATTCTTCCCCAAATGCACTCGCTGCTTCCTGTCCGTCAGGAAGTCTGACGAATCTTTTTCCTAAACCCACTGGTAGGGTCCCTTCAATGGCTGGTATGTGTTGGTGTCCAAGAGTAACTGGAGTATAACTATTTTACCAGCTGACAAAGGCAGATGCACAGTTATCCTCAACAGCTCAGACTATGAGGCCAAAGTTAATCAGTTACTCTTGGACACCAACACGTACCAGCCATTGAAGAGGGACCCTACCAGTGGGTTTAGGAAAAAGATTATAGACTTCCTTCAGAGCTTAGTGAAAGAGGGCATTATTGAAAAACCACTATATTACAAACTTTACCCAGGAGACACCATTCCCAGTATTTATGGACTCCCAAAAATACACAAACAAAACTTTCCACTTCGGCCTATTGTATGTAGCATAGACTCTATCACCTACAACCTGGCTAAACACCTCAAAACCATTCTGGCTCCTTTGGTGGGTAACACCCACCATCACATAGAAAACACAAAAGAATTTGTAAATAAAATCAAACACCTCCAGTTTGACACAGATGAGACAATGGTCTCGTTTGATGTGACATCACTTTTTACGTCGGTCCCCATTACAGAGGCAGTGGAGGCTGTAAGAGAAAGCCTACAGAAAGACGCCACACTAGGGGAGAGAACGAAACTAACAGCTGACCACATCTGTGAAATACTTGAAATGTGTCTTAACACCACGTATTTCCAATTTAGAGGCACCTTCTTTAGACAGATTCATGGCTGTGCGATGGGCTCCCCAGTCTCTCCTATAGTGGCCAATCTGTATATGGAGAAACTGGAGGAACAAGCCCTGGCCTCTTACCAAGGGACAGCGCCAAGCCATTGGTTTGATATGTAGACGATACATGGGTTAAGTTAAAGAAGCAGGAAGTGGAACCATTTTCAGAACACATTAATTTGGTGGACCCTTTTATAAATTTCACTCGCGAGGATGCTAAGGAGAGTGAACTCGCCTTTCTAGATTGTAAGGTCATCATACTGGAGAACGGACAATTAGAGACTAAGGTCTTCAGAAAGTCCACTCACACTGACCAGATTTGATTCAAATCATCCGCTACAACACAAACTCGGGGTCATTAGAACGCTTCAACACCGAGCCCACCAGGTCCCCACTAGCTCGGAGGGAAAGAACAGAGAAACCAAACATGTTCAGAGAGCACTTTCCAGATGTGGCTACCCCAAGTGGTCTTTTACTAAAGCCCAAAGGACGAGAAAGGCCAGAGACACAGTCCTACAGACAGAAGAAAGTAGGAGGAGAGGGGTGTCCTTACCGTATGTGGCGGGAGTTTCAGAGAAACTACAAAGAATCTTTAGGCAACACAAAATCCCTGTGTATTTCAAACCTTTCAACACGTTAAGACAGAAATTAGTGCATCCCAAAGACAAAACACCCAGACACAAACAGAGCAATGTGGTGTATTCAATTAAATGTAGTGAAGAGGAGTGCACTGACCACTACATTGGAGAAACCAAACAAACTCTACAGAAACGACTTTACCAACATCGTAGAGAAAACTCTAGTGGGCCACAGTCGGCTGTTCATCTCCACCTCAAGGCCTCCAACCACACGGTGGATGACACAGAGGTTAAAATTCTGGCTCGGGAGAAGAATTGGTTTGAGAGAGGAGTGAAAGAAGCCATTTTTGTGAGGAAACAAAAACCTTCTCTTAACAGAGGAGGAGGGTTAAGATTTGTTTTGCCTCGCATCTATGACGACATCCTAAAAACAACGCCCTAACTTGGGACAAGGTCAGTGACATGCTAATGAGTTAGGAGGGGTGAGACCTGCACTCCACTTGAGCATCCCAGCAGACAATAGGTCAGTGACATGCTAATGAGTTAGGGTCGTTAGCCTCAGCAGGGTCGTTAGATCTGCTCCCTTCTACATCAGACCTTTGATTGTTTATGAGTTAGTATCAGGATTAGGGTGTGGCTAACCACACCCATAGGTTATAAATCTCCAACGCGCGGTCTGAGAATTCATTCTCTGAAGAAGTCCGCTGGTTTGAGGACGAAACGTCGGAAAAACTTGCTAAGAAGTACAGATGATGAGTGAGAAACCTTCCTTTGCTATGATAAGTATATGATATATAATATGGGGTGGGGCTGAGGGTAGATATTATAGATAAATCAGCCCAAACTCTTTTGATCTTTTTTAATCTTTGATCCTTAGTGTCATATTTGATTGTTTCTGTTTCAGGTGAAACTCGTGAACATCCGGAATGATGACATCGCCGACGGCAACCCCAAACTGACCCTGGGTCTGATCTGGACCATCATCCTGCACTTCCAGGTGATGTCACACACTATATCTGTATATATATACATACATACATACACATACATGAAAGTATTCGGCCCTCTTGAACCTTTCAACATTTCGCCACATTTCAGGCTTCAAACATAAAGATATAAAAATTTAATTTTTTGTCAAGAATCAACAACAAGTGGGACACAATCGTGAAGTAGAACAAAATTTATTGGATAATTTAAACTTTTTTAACAAATAAAAAACTGAAAAGTGGGGCGTGCAATATTATTTGGCCCCTTTACTTTCAGTGCAGCAAACTCAGTCCAGAAGTTCAGTGAGGATCTTTGAATGATCCAATGTTGTGTTAGTATTAAATAGCAATATGGCCTACGTGCAGGACTCTACAAGGACTCTGATTATTTTGACTATGATGTGACTGTCTCTGTGTGACACGTACGTCTTTCGATGTGTGACGTGACAATGACTATATAAACGGTGTACTGCCTTTATTCTGTCTGAGAGAAAGAAACAATTGAAACCACTGGAACTTGAGAGAAACTTAAATAAACTTCCAGAGTTTGGCGCACCACGATCCGTCTCTGTCTGGTTCATTCCTGACAGTTGTCCTAAATGACTGATGATGATAAATAGAATGCACCTGTGTGTAATCAAGTCTCCGTATAAATGCACCTGCTCTTTGATAGTCTCAGGGTTCTGTTTAAAGCACAGAGAGAACCATGAAGACAAAGGAACACACCAGGCAGGTCCGAGATACTGTTGTGGAGAAGTTTAAAGCCGGATTTGGATACAAAAAGATTTCCCAAGCTTTAAACATCTCAAGGAGCACTGTGCACGCAATTATATTGAAATGGAAGGAGTATCAGACCACTGCAAATCTACCAAGACCCGGCCGTCCCTCCAAACTTTCATCTCAAACAAGGAGAAGACTGATCAGAGATGCAGCCAAGAGGCCCATGATCACTCTGGATGAACTGCAGATAACTACAGCTGAGGTGGGAGAGTCTGTCCATAGGACAACAATCAGTCGTGCACTGCACAAATCTGGCCTTTATGGAAGAGTGGCAAGAAGAAAGCCATTTCTCAAAGATATCCATAAAAAGTCCTGTTTAAAGTTTGCCACAAGCCACCTGGGAGACACACCAAACATGTGGAAGAAGGTGCTCTGGTCAGATGAAACCAAAATCAAACTTTTTGGCCACAATGCAAAACGATATGTTTGGCGTAAAAGCAACACAGCTCATCACCCTGAACACACCATCCCCACTGTCAAACATGGTGGTGGCAGCATCATGCTTTGGGCCTGCTTTTCTTCAGCAGGGACAGGGAAGATGGCTAAAATTGATGGGAAGATGGATGGAGCCAAATACAGGACCATTCTGGAAGAAAACCTGTTGGAGTCTGCAAAAGACCTGAGACTGGGACGGAGATTTATCTTCCAACAGGACAATGATCCAAAACATAAAGCCAAATCTACAATGGAATGGTTCACAAATAGACGTATCCAGGTGTTAGAATGGCCAAGTCAAAGTCCAGACCTGAATCCAATCGAGAATCTGTGGAAAGAGCTGAAGACTGCTGTTCACAAACGCTCTCCATCCAACCTCACTGAGCTCGAGCTGTTTTGCAAGGAACAATGGCCAAGAATTCCAGTCTCTCGATGTGCAAAACTGATAGAGACATACCCCAAGCGACTTGCAGCTGTAATTGCAGCAAAAGGTGGCGCTACAAAGTATTCGCGCAAGGGGCCGAATAATATTGCACGCCCCACTTTTCAGTTTTTTATTTGTTAAAAAAGTTTAAATTATCCAATAAATTTCGTTCCACTTCACGATTGTGTCCCACTTGTTGTTGATTCTTGACAAAAAATTAAATTTGTATATCTTTGTTTGAAGCTTGAAATGTGGCGAAATGTTGAAAGGTTCAAGGGGGCCGAATACTTTTCAAGGCACTGTATATATATATCCAAACACACTGTGTCAGTCTGTATCAGTCTCTGTCAGTCTGTATCAGTCAGTCTGTGTCACTGTATCAGTCTGTGTCAGTCTGTATCAGTCTGAGTCAGTCTGTATCAGTCTGTGTCAGTCTGTGTCAGTCTGTATCAGTCTGTGTCAGTCTGTGTCACTCTGTATCAGTCTGTGTCAGTCTGTATCAGTCTGAGTCAGTCTGTATCAGTCTGTGTCAGTCTGTGTCAGTCTCTGTCAGTCTATGTCAGTCTGTATCAGTCTGTGTCAGTCTGTATCAGTCTGTGTCAGTCTGTGTCAGTCTCTGTCAGTCTATGTCAGTCTGTATCAGTCTGTGTCAGTCTGTATCAGTCTGTGTCAGTCTGTATCAGTCTGTGTCAGTCTGTATCAGTCTGTGTCAGTCTGTGTCAGTCTGTGTCAGTCTGTGTCAGTCTGTATCAGTCTGTGTGCCTGGTTCACACGGCAGGATATTTAGGCCGATTTAGACCCGATTTACCCCTTACGACAATCTTAAGAAACGCTCCGATTTCCGTAACAAAATCTTACAGATTATCCTGCCGTGTGTGGTGTGTTAAGACTGCACTTGTCGCACGGAAGGACATCGGGACTGCTCCCGATCTCAAATCGGGGATATCCAACATGTTGGATTGTTTTGGCCTGATTTCTCTTCGTATGTGGTGTCCCCCGAGGACAGACGTGCGCGTTGCCATGACTGCGGCGTGTAGCCAATCAGAAGACGAGACGAGGCGGTGAGGAAACGCCTCCATATCACGATGTAGCAAGTATAGTCCATGCTCGTGTTGTCTACACTTCTGTGACCATCGCCTTTTCTTTTGATTACGTCTTTTCTCCGATAAAAACAAACTATCGCCAATGCATCCTCTTCGTCCGCCATGTATGTTTACTCTGAAGTCACGCTTGATCTCGCGAGACCTGAGATTTCCGTCTGATCTGTGAATACCATCCATCCATCCATTTTCTACCCTTTAATCCATTTCTGGGTCAGGGGGGTGGCAGTCAGAGATGCCACCCAAGTCTCATAGCACCAGCCCCTCACTGACCCTCTGCAGGTGGTGAGTCCACAGGAGGACGGCTGCTCTCTGACTGTGAGCATAGCCTTGATCTTACAGTGGGGGCTTTGGGCAAAGTGGGGTTAAGTGTCTTGCCCAAGGACACAACGACAGCAGTCATCAGTGGGAGTCGGTGGAGAAGGTGTCGAGGTGGGAATTGAACCCACAACCTTCAGGCCTGAAGGCCAATGCTCTACCAACTGAGCTACTGTCGCCCCCATGAATGTGAATACCATGGATGTATTATATTAACGGTGAATACTCGGGGGGGAAATCGGTTCGTGTGTGGTTTGCGTGATTTTTGCCGTGTGGCTGCGCACCACACACTGTACGACCAAAGTGGTTAGACCCGTGATTTTTTATCTCCCTGTGTGGGGTCTCACACAGAGAAAAATCGGCCGACAATTTTAAAATCGTCTCGTGTGAACCAGGCTTTAGTCTTTGTCAGTCTGTATCAGTCTGTATCAGTCTGTATCAGTCTGTGTCACTCTGTTTCAGTCTGTATCAGTCTATGTCAGTCTGTATCAGTCTGTATCAGTCTATGTCAGTCTGTATCAGTCTGTATCAGTCTATGTCAGTCTATGTCAGTCTGTATCAGTCTGTGTCACTCTGTATCAGTCTGTGTCAGTCTGTGTCAGTCTGTGTCACTCTGTATCAGTCTGTGTCAGTCTGTATCAGTCTGTGTCAGTCTGTATCAGTCTGTGTCAGTCTGTGTCAGTCTGTGTCAGTCTGTGTAAGTCTGTGTCAGTCTGTGTCACTCTGTATCAGTCTGTGTCAGTCTGTATCAGTCTGTGTAAGTCTGTGTCAGTCTGTATCAGTCTGTGTCAGTCTGTGTCAGTCTGTGTCAGTCTGTGTAAGTCTGTGTAAGTCTGTGTCAGTCTGTATCAGTCTGTATCAGTCTGTATCAGTCTGTATCAGTCTGTGTCAGTCTGTGTCAGTCTGTGTCAGTCTGTATCAGTCTCTGTCAGTCTGTGTCAGTCTGTGTAAGTCTGAGTCAGTCTGTATCAGTCTGTGTCAGTCTGTGTAAGTCTGTGTAAGTCTGTGTCAGTCTGTATCAGTCTCTGTCAGTCTATGTCAGTCTGTATCAGTCTGTGTAAGTCTGAGTCAGTCTGTATCAGTCTGTGTCAGTCTGTGTAAGTCTGTGTAAGTCTGTGTCAGTCTGTATCAGTCTCTGTCAGTCTGTGTCAGTCTGTATCAGTCTGTGTCAGTCTGTATCAGTCTGTGTCAGTCTGTGTAAGTCTGTGTAAGTCTGTGTCAGTCTGTATCAGTCTGTATCAGTCTGTGTCAGTCTGTGTAAGTCTGTGTCAGTCTGTATCAGTCTGTATCAGTCTCTGTCAGTCTATGTCAGTCTGTATCAGTCTGTGTAAGTCTGAGTCAGTCTGTATCAGTCTCTGTCAGTCTATGTCAGTCTGTATCAGTCTGTGTAAGTCTGAGTCAGTCTGTATCAGTCTCTGTCAGTCTGTGTCAGTCTGTGTAAGTCTGAGTCAGTCTGTGTCAGTCTGTATCAGTCTCTGTCAGTCTATGTCAGTCTGTATCAGTCTGTATCAGTCTGTGTCAGTCTGTATCAGTCTGTATTGGTCTAACTACAGTTTACAGAAGCTAAAGGAGCAGGACTCAGAGCTCTGCGGTTTCCTTTCACAGAATAGGAACAAATGACTTTCTTTCCGCCCTTTTCCTTCCCGTGTTTATGACTCATGAACCAAAGACTGTTTCCACAGAGACTCAGAACAACGGCTTCTGGAAACTCTGGAAACTCTGTGTTGAGAGTTTGTGAAACTGTTTCAGAGTCATTTTCTGTTCATTCATGAACTGATAAATAAACATTAGTGTGGTTCCAAAATGTTTCATGAAAGAGCTGTGGGTTAAAACATGACTCACTTCAATCTGGAAGTAACCAGTTTTTCGGAAAATATACTTTCCTATAATCTATGCCAAACTAACCTAGGCCAAGATAATCTATGCCAAACTAATTTAGGCCAAGATAATCTATGCCAAGCTCTGTAAAGGCCATCTGAGAGAGAAAGAACGAGCCTCCAGTAAACACCAGTTTAATGCCATATTTCCTTTTATTTAATGATACAATAAATGTCCATTTGTTAATAACTCTATTACGACAGAAATCTAAATGTTTTAACAAAGTATTTTAAATCAAACTGAACGTAACGAGTCTCTCCATGATGAGGTTCTTCAAAGGTTCCCAAAGATCCAAGGTTCTTCGACCTTTCGGATCTAAACAACAAATCAATCTAATAATCGTTTATTAAAGTATGTGTTTTATCTACATGTGTTCTTACTCTTGTCCTCGGTTGCCAGATCTACATGTGTTCTTACTCTTGTCCTCGGTTGCCAGATCTGCATGTGTTCTTACTCTTGTCCTCGGTTGCCAGATCTGCATGTGTTCTTACTCTTGTCCTCGGTTGCCAGATCTGCATGTGTTCTTACTCTTGTCCTCGGTTGCCAGATCTGCATGTGTTTTTACTCTTGTCCTCGGTTGCCAGATCTGCATGTGTTCTTACTCTTGTCCTCGGTTGCCAGATCTGCATGTGTTCTTACTCTTGTCCTCGGTTGCCAGATCTGCATGTGTTTTTACTCTTGTCCTCGATTGCCAGATCTGCATGTGTTCTTACTCTTGTCCTCGGTTGCCAGATCTGCATGTGTTCTTACTCTTGTCCTCGGTTGCCAGATCTGCATGTGTTTTTACTCTTGTCCTCGGTTGCCAGATCTGCATGTGTTCTTACTCTTATCCTCGGTTGCCAGATCTGCATGTGTTCTTACTCTTGTCCTTGGTTGCCAGATCTACATGTGTTCTTATTCTTGTCCTCGGTTGCCAGATCTACATGTGTTCTTACTCTTGTCCTCGGTTGCCAGATCTACATGTGTTTTTACTCTTGTCCTTGGTTGCCAGATCTGCATGTGTTTTTACCGTTGTCCTTGGTTGCCAGATCTCGGACATCCAGGTGAACGGTCAGTCCGATGACATGACGGCCAAAGAGCGGCTGCTGCTGTGGTCCCAGAGGATGGTGGAGAATTATCAGGGACTCGGCTGCAAAGACTTCACCTCGAGCTGGAGGGACGGGAAGCTCTTCAACGCCATCATCCACAAGCACAGGTGAGGGGTCAGAGGTCATCATCCACAAGCACAGGTGCGGGGTCAGAGGTTATCATCCACAAGCACAGGTGAGGGGTCAGAGGTCAGGGGCCATCATCCACAAGCACAGGTGAGGGGTCAGAGGTTATCATCCACAAGCACAGGTGAGGGGTCAGAGGTCAGGGGCCATCATCCACAAGCACAGGTGAGGGGTCAGAGGTTATCATCCACAAGCACAGGTGAGGGGCCAGAGGTCAGGGGCCATCATCCACAAGCACAGGTGAGGGGTCAGAGGTCATCATCCACAAGCACAGGTGAGGGGTCAGAGGTCATCATCCACAAGCACAGGTGAGGGGTCAGAGGTCATCATCCACAAGCACAGGTGAGGGGTCAGAGCATCATCCACAAGCACAGGTGAGGGGTCAGAGCATCATCCACAAGCACAGGTGAGGGGTCAGAGGTCATCATCCACAAGCACAGGTGAGGGGTCAGAGCATCATCCACAAGCACAGGTGAGGGGTCAGAGGTCATCATCCACAAGCACAGGTGAGGGGTCAGAGCATCATCCACAAGCACAGGTGAAGGGTCAGAGGACAGGGGTCAGAGGGTGCGATGGCAGCAGTGGCTGGGAATGATAAAACAAGTTTAGGCGCTATACAATTAAAGATGACTTACTACGTGGCCGTAGGCTGTGAACCAGATCGAACTGGTTTTCATCCTGGGACCAAAGGATGTGTTGATGATGTGAAAGCTCTGGGACTTGTTTAGACTCGTGTCGACTTTCACCAAAGGACGTTTGGAATGTGTCAAATTAAAGTGAAATCCAACTTTCAGACTAAGTCTAACGTCTCCAGGATCAGGAAGATTTACTCTAGACTTCAGCAAGTTTATCATGGAGCTGGATATACTTTCCTTATATGGGCATTTGTCCGTGCCCCTGTTGCTAACACGGTTGCTATGGCACGCTGGAGTTTCCCCACGAGTTAAGGAATCTAATTGGTCAACGGCTCATATCTGGATTTACAAAGACCAAAGACAAATGTAACCACCAGGATCACAGAGAGAGCGAAACCATGTGACTGTGACACCAGGACCACAGAGAGAGCGAAACCATGTGACTGTGACACCAGGATCACAGAGAGAGCGAAACCATGTGACTGTGACACCAGGACCACAGAGAGAGCGAAACCATGTGACTGTGACACCAGGACCACAGAGAGAGCGAAACCATGTGACTGTGACACCAGGATCACAGAGAGAGCGAAACCATGTGACTGTGACACCAGGATCACAGAGAGAGCGAAACCATGTGACTGTGACACTAGGATCACAGAGAGAGCGAAACCATGTGACTGTGACACCAGGATCACACAGAGAGCGAAACCATGTGACTGTGACACCAGGATCACAGAGAGAGCGAGACCATGTGACTGTGACACCAGGATCACAGAGAGAGCGAAACCATGTGACTGTGACACCAGGATCACAGAGAGAGCGAGACCATGTGACTGTGACACCAGGATCACAGAGAGAGCGAGACCATGTGACTGTGACACCAGGATCACAGAGAGAGCGAAACCATGTGACTGTGACACCAGGACCACAGAGAGAGCGAAACCATGTGACTGTGACACCAGGATCACAGAGAGAGCGAAACCATGTGACTGTGACACCAGGATCACAGAGAGAGCGAAACCATGTGACTGTGACACCAGGATCACAGAGAGAGCGAGACCATGTGACTGTGACACCAGGATCACAGAGAGAGCGAAACCATGTGACTGTGACACCAGGACCACAGAGAGAGCGAAACCATGTGACTGTGACACCAGGATCACAGAGAGAGCGAGACCATGTGACTCTGAAAGAGTCCAGGCGTTTGGTCCTGGTCTTACATCTCATTAAAAAGATGATACTTTACAAAATGACAGTTTAT